CTTTCCCTCCTTCAGCCTTTGTGTGGGGCTTTCCCTGAGGTGTCTGCTCCCCTTCTCTCTCTACCCTGGTCCCTTCCAGCTCTGGGAGTCTTCCAGGGGGTGCGGAGTAGAGTGTGCGGGAAAGGGCCCGGCCCGGGGTGACGGGGTGCTGGGGGGTCAGGTTAGGGGTATAGGCAGTGCTAAGAGGTCTGGAGTTGAGTGAACAGTTATTTGCTCACCTGCCGCTCCTCTCTGCTCCTCCCCCCACCGCCCACCTTCTTCTAGGCCGGTCCCCATCTGTGTTTTCAAGGAGGGGCCCCTCGGGCTCGGGGGGACCTCGAGGGAGGGCAGGGGCCTGCTTGGGAGCAGCTAGAGGCCGGCTGCGGTCCACCCAGGGCAGCCCGGGCCGTCTCCTGTCTTAGTCTCCGTCGGCCCAGTGGCCTGGGCTTCTCCCTGGAAGTGCTGGTAAACAGCTGAGTGATTGGAGTAGTAAGTGCAGATTGCTTTGGTTTGGGATTTGAATTATGGAGGTAAAATCCTTCTGTCAAAGCCAGGAGACAGTTGGTCTTAGGTTGACATCCTATCTGTGATCTGATTGGCTCCCCATCTCCTGCTCTTGGCCATTTATAATTGCCTCTGATGTAATGGTACAACAATCCTGATGAGCTCATAAACTTTTACACTCTGCTTTTCTGCCAGTGATAACCCAAACCATCGCTGCCACTATCTGCCTTTTATTCCAGAGCTGAAATTGGCTGTGACCTTGAGGAGGGAGGTTTAAGCAGCAATACTGTATCAGCAGGAGCAGAGTCCCAGACAGGCTGCCCTTGTTACATTGTGCCCGAAACAAAAGAGGAGGCAGTGGCATTTTGCTTGTACCTTGGATTTATTTTGCTTGTTATGTTTTATGCAGACTGAAATAGATTCTGTGTTGTCAGAACAGTAGCTGAGTTTTTCTCTACAATGGGTTTGCTGTTTGTTTTGGTTTTGTGACTTTCCTGATGGTATAAATGACTTCTTTGATGGCTCTGAAGATGCGTTTGTCTTGAGTAATTTTGACCCTGTTCGCTTTGCAGAACTGAAATTATTTTACTGACCTTTTTTATTGAGTGGCAAATGTGGGATCTTTATCAGAGGGGGTAGGAAAAAGCTTTGAGAACTGGAAGCTTTCTGAAAGAGAATTTCATATTTAGGTGTTCTGTTTTAAGGAAGGCTGGCCTCATTATTTGTTTACATGTTAACACTTTCTTTTGTTCATTGAACTTTGGGAGAGCAGATCAATTTAAAGGGAAGGACATCTTTTTTGATCTTGAGAGGGGCTGTTTCTTAAAGGCTTGGCTTGGTGAAATTTATCATTTTTTCCTGGAAATATCAAAAAGCCTAGTTTTCTATTTTGTCATCATTCATTTTACAGCTTTGAAATAGAGGTCAACCAGTTTTTTTCTTTGCATTTTAAGTTCCATTTATTTCTATCTTCCAAGATAACAAAGATATGACCTACAATGATACTTAATTAAGACTTGCTTAGAAATTACAACTTTTAGGTGTGTTTTTATGTATTCTGTTTTATTTTGCTCTTCCTTTTCATCATGTTCTGTCTTCAGTGCTTTGGCCAGGAATATTGGGTATTCTTTGGAGTCATCTGTCTTTTCAAAGCAGAAAAAAGTCTTCCTTCATGGCTGCCCCTCTCCCAGCAGTACCCAGTTGTACCTTTGTCCTATGAGATTTTGTTCACATTTTGTTCACTTCGGCGGCCTAATTAGATGTATTCCCTCCCCATCTTAGAACTGCTTTTCTACTCTTAACGTTGAGCTGGGAATTTTGAAAATATTTATGTCAGGTAGCAGGTTTAGAGGTCTGTGCCTTGACTCCACGTCTTCCATGATGTTCTACATCTGGGCAAGAAATAGGGGACTTTTAAATTAGATTCCTAGTGTCTGGAGGAGAAATTTTGTCTTAGAACATCTTCTTTCTGGGTCATTCTATAGTTTATCTCTTTCCTCTCATTTTTTCCCTTTTGGGGGTGAGGGGGAAAGGAGGCTAAGAAATTTACTATTCTTAAACCATTAGATGAAATAATTTGGGGTAAGTCAAGGCTCATTTAAAAACAAAAATTAATTTGAATTCTTTCAGCTTGGGAATATTCAAGCAAATTCTGTTTTTTTTGGTAAAACCAATTTTTGCCGTATAGTAATTTCTGTTTTTCAGTCATTAAACAAATATTTGAGCACTTTCTGTGTACTAGGCACTATGTTCTGTGCTGGATAAATGGTAGGAAAGTAGATACAGTCCCTGTTTGGAAGCTTGTCTGTGCTGCCTTTGTGCGAATTTTCTTATTCCCTTTTAACATTAACAGGCCTAGCACTTCACACAACATAGATTCCTGTCGGATTTCAGTTCAGTTGCCTGTTCTCCTGAGACCCAGAGCATGGGCTGGTGAGCATTCACTTGTAGAAGAGACAGTGCAACTTCCAGTTTTGTGGGTTGCTTCAGGTGTGTCATCTAGATGAAGGTTGTAGGTGGGTAGATTTCGTTCTGAATTCCTTTTTGCTACTTAAGGATAAACTACTTGTCAGACCATGATGCCCTATTCTTAAGCATTCTTAAATAATAAGATCTTGGTTTGTCCTCTT